TGAAGCTCTGGAAGAGCTAACCTGCCGAGCCGACCCTCAGAGCCAACCTGAAGAATCTTAGAGAATCACCAAGCAGCTCTGGACTAAGAGCTGGAAAACCCAAAGTCAAGGTCTGTTCATTATTAGACGTGAGACGCTGAAGCAGCAAGCGGACTCTGCTGATGAACTCCTCTCCAGATCCAACAGAGACTCTCCCAAAGCTAACCTCAAGAACCCTCAAGGTACAATCAGTAAATCTTCAGGAAATCAAGCTTCTGTTGGCAACGCTAACTGAACTGTCTCTCACGCAGACTCCGGTGAACCAGTGTCCAGGCCCCGAACCTGAACCAGTAAATTCTGTGTGCTTGTGCAAAATAAACTTGTTAAACTTTCATCCCTGTGTCCGTCAGTGGTGTTCTGCATTCTTGGGTCGCTATTAGTGAACCCATCATGACAGAATCAAATTTTTAGAGACTTTTGACAACACTCGTTTGTTGTCTTTTATGTTATCTTGATTTTTATTTGTTTTTGTTTACATTTTACATTAAGTACTGCAGGCAAATAAGTTTTCTGAACAGTTTTTGTCAAAAATCCTTATTTATATTTATAAAATCTGTTAAAAAAGAAATGCGTGCAACTAAACTGAAAGGAATACCTCCCCCTGAGACTAATCTGGAATAATGCTGATGAAGATTCCCAGTCATCCAGGTCATAGTCATTCCGTAAAAGTTAAAAAAAATTCCACTGGACTTGGTTTCCAAGATTTGAAGACGTTTCGCCACAAATCTTGGAAACCAAGTCCAGTGGATTTTTTAAAAACTTTTACAGAAAATCTGGAATAATGCCCCCAAAATCGGCCGTGCCAATACACGGCCAAATGAGTGGAGGGGGCAAGATGAGGTGAAATAACAGTAAAAGTAAATCTGAAATAACTAAATATTCTAAGTACCTAAAATAAAACACTGTGCTGTCTAATGGTTACAAAAAAGTTATCAATCAATAGTCATAGTGCACAATTAAAAACCCTAACTCCCACATGGCATGTGACATGGTTTAGGGTACATTCAACTGGTTCTTGGAAGTCAGCATACTATGTTTTTTTTTTCCAATGTTATTGTTATCATTATAAGAATAATAGAATATGAGTGTCCACAAAAGGAAGTTTACATCACTGCCAGTTCCAAGTTAAATAGGATGTATCATTATTCCTGAGCTCTGGAGCGGACATAGACACGCACCAAGCTAGAGATGTATTCTTTTAACCAAGAGGAAAACTCAATTGCAGTGACCACGTTTCAACCCATAGGGGGCAGCACTAGATTGGTTTTAAGCTAAATATTGCAAAATTAAACAACTTCAACTGAAAATGTAAAGATTTTTACAATGAGATTAAGATATTACCCTGTACCACCGCACTGTGCAATGATGTAAGAAATGAGTAAATCAAATGTAATAAAATGTGATTACAGTATTTTGGATTAACTGCTTCAAAATATGATAGAATCAATCTGCCTCAGTATGTAGTAACATTACATTTTACTTGGATTAAAAAAGTGTAGGGGGGCTTTTTCTAAACAAACCCAATGATTACTCTGTCTTTAGATTAGTAAAGGATTGTTTCAGTTAAGTAGGAAATACTTTGCAAACAGTTAAATAACATGGCTCTGAATGTCCTAAACAGATTTTCCAAGTTAACATAAAAGCTCTACTGTCCACAGTGATTAATATTTGTTCACCTGTAGTCTCAGTCGTTAATAAGACATTGACCTAACAAACTATTATCACTTTTTGTTGTGTGGAGTGGGACTTCTAACATCACACATAACACAAGGGAATACTTAAGTCTTGGGAATTCCTTTTTGCCTTTTAATTTGGAATACATTTTTAGATGCTTTTGTGGAAAAAAAGCTGTTTGAATGAAGCTGGATAAGCTACTAAATCGTCAAGATTTTGCAGGTAATAAACAGAATTTCAAAGATTTAAATGTTCAAAACACATTTATTACATAGATAGTAATTGGGATAAATACAAAAAGTAGCTTGTGAATATTGGTTAAAAAGAGGAATCCCCTTTTTTAATAATAACAGTCAAAAAATGTAATAGTAATGTAATATTGTTGCATAATTAACTGCAAAGTACATCAATGGATTTTATTGCACTTTTCTACATAATGAGGCTGTATTACATTACATGTTGTTGCACACGTTAAGCCTCCTTTTTTAAAAGATGAACATTTTTAGAGAATTGTAATAAACTCTGTGACCTATATTCTGTTTTATAGCAACATGTTGTGGATAGTTGGAGAGGCCAAGGCCTAAACATATCACAGATAAGAGGCTGTTGGCCCTGTATCCAGGTGCTGTCTCTCCTCTTAACAGCTCAGAGAGTAAAATATCCGCACAAAACAACATGATAAACTACAGCCTACCAAGAACTGGTCGAGGGGAAGGAGTGAGAGGAGTGGAAAGGGAGGACGAGGAGAAGGAAGAGTGTTATGTTTAGAGCCCACACAAGATGGTTCGTTCTCATAAACTTTAACGTGAGAAGAAACAAACTAGCAGCGATCAGGCCAATTATACTTTATTTTATCTGATTTTAAGGGTGCGGAGTGGAGGGGAGGGGCAGAGAGAATGAGGCAGCACTGTTGTGATATGTGGAAGGGAGAGGGGGACCCAGAGTCCCAGTGGAGCCAGCCTCTGGGTTTTGCAAGGGAGAAAATAAACACTCCCCCACTGGCTTATTTACACAAGAGGTTAACTTAAACTTTAATTTTATATCATGGTACCAGGGACTGAGTCCTCCCCTGGTTTCTCCTGATCGCATGTTTCTGAGTCACATTAAAGTCTCTGATTGCATTTTATTTATTGATATTCCTTTCATCATTTACCTCGCATAGATTCGACAAAGTAAAGGAAAACTAAATTAAATAGCTTTTTCTCCCATCACCAGCACTAATTAATGAACTCTCTGACATGGCAGTGGGGATCAGAGCTTTCAAAATACCAAACAAGCTTTAGCTGAGCTCCCCACCTCAATCAGCAAACATGTTTTTTTATAAATTGTATTGATGGTTTTATATAGATGATTATTTTTACATACTGGCCTCACTGAAGCAAAGTGCCTAGTCTTTATATCCTGAATCATGTAATCTATCTTACAATGACTGATTGTTCCTACCTCTTGTTTTGCTTTTGCTTTTTGTTGGCTCAGTTCTCTGATTTGCTCCATGAGACTCATCCTGGAGCTCTGATGAGATGCCAGGGATTCTTCAAACTTTGATTGTAAGGCTTCCAGCTCACATTTCATAATTACTGCATTCTGTAATATAAGAGACATAAATCTGTTAACATACAATTACAGAGCAATATACAGCTCTAGCGTATCTTTACCTTGTCTGGATGTTGTTTGCTGAGGGCTTCCTTCTGCATTCGCTCCATTTCCAGATCTTGTTGTAGGGATGCTATTTTTTCTGTAAGGGCAGCTTTATCTGCTTCTTGCTGGAACAAAGCCTGAGCACAAAACACAAAGAGCTCAGAGGGATTTACAATCAGTGGCAAACAAAGTTGTTATAGCCAGATGATCTTGGATGTCCAATGATTCAACAAAAGCATTCTCACAACTTGCCACATTAGGCCATGGAAAGTGGTGAATAACTGAAGAGGAGGGAAGGAAATATGTTTTCTTTGATTGTCACATGCGTTAGTATACAACCTTTTGCTCAGACATCCCTCAAGAAAAACACTGCAGCTATTTTCCTTTACATAATCTCTAGTTAGCAATAAGATTTGAAACATATATAACGTGACCTCAAATACAACTGTTGTGCAAAGGCCAGAACATTAGTGACAAAATGTCAAAATAAGGACCAGACACAGATAAGACAGGTTCAAGGCTAACGTTATGGAAATATTCAAGGCAGGGTTGGAGCCATGGTGCATGGGTGATTGTGGTCTACTGTTCCTGTTTTCATGCATCCAACTTCCACTGGTTGTCTCTCAGTGCTGCTGCTGATCTCCAGCAGCCTAGAGGCAAAAGGCAGGGTACTACAGGGTAACCCAGACATACACAACCATTCACCTACATACTCACTTTAGAGCCACTAATTAACCTGACTTTCATGTTTTTGGACTCGAGGAAGAAGCCGGAGTACCCAGAGAGAACCCACTCATGCAAAGAAGAACATGTATTTCCCAGACCTTTATAATACAAGCCAACAATGTTTCCATTGCTCAGTGCTTGTTTCAGCTGTTCAGTTTAGGCTCTATCTATTAATTAGTTCTTCATTTATGTGTTTTCTGCTTCCTGTCACTGTTTATTGGTTAACTGCAACTGCAAATTGGGACATAAAACTTGCATGCATCTATTGGTTTTGGTCCTGATTCTGTTTTTGCAAGGCAATGCAGGCATAATATAGTATTTGAAGTACAGGCTTCAAACATAAAGATATAAAAGTGTATAAACCAACAAGTGGGACACGATCAAGAGGTGGAATGAAATGTACTGTATATTTTAATTATTTTAACAAATAAAAAACTGCCAAATTGGGTGTGCAAAATTATTCACCCCCCCTTGAGTGGATTCTTTTTAGCCCCACCTTTTGCTGTGATTACAACTGCAAGTTGTGAGACATTCCATTATAGATTAATTCCTGCCCACCGATTATAACCATCTTCTCTGTCCTTGCTGAGGAGAAGCAAGACCAAACCATGATGCTGCCACTACCATGTTTGACAGTGGGGATGGTGTGTTCGGGGTGATGCTTTTACACCAAACACAATATCTTACATTGTTGCCTAAAAGTTTGATTTTGGTTTCCTCTGACCAGAGCACCTTCCTCCACATGTTTGCTGTTTCTCTCAGGTAGCTTGTGGCAAACTTTAAACGAGACTTTTTATAGATATCTTTAATTAAAGGCTTTCTTCAGTAAAGGCCAGATTTTTGCAGTATACCACTGATTGTCTCCCACCTCATTTTGCATGCCTTACTGTTCAGTTTTTTTATTTCTTAAAAAGTTTAAAATATCCAGTAAATTTATTAACACCTCATAATTGTGTCCCACTTGATGTTGATTCTTCACAAAAAATTACAATTTAATATCTTTATGTTTGATGCCTGTCCAAGGGGGAAAATACTTCAGCAATGCACTGCAGTTTTTCTATTGACTCTCAGTTTTCATATTCAGCTATATGAGTGATATGGTGATTATTTAACGCATGTGAAAAAGTTTCTCTTATTAAAAGGAACCTGTTGCTTGTCACTTTCAGCCTGTAGGAGGCTTTGGCTGAACTCCTTCTGCAGCTTTGCCAGCTCATCTTGCATCTGCTGCATCGAGCTCTGGTTGTGCACACGCAGCTCCTCGCACTGTGTGCGCAGCTGCTCTTCGATCTGCTGCTGTTGGACTGTGAATTCTGCAAACTGCTGCTCCTGTTAGACAGTAGACATCAGCACACACTCAGTTTTCATCTGGGAACAATACCTTTGATATAGGACTCACTATATCAGCTAAATAGCTTGTATTTTTTTCAGTTAACGGTTATTATTTGAGAGCATGACAGAAGCGGTAAATGCATATATATTAATATATTTATATGTAATATAAATAATGGCAGATTAGGTCATTTTGTCTGACTGTACTGACTTTTGTGACCACAGTGGCATCAATGTAGGCTGCTGCAACCAGTGATGTTTCTGTGCATGTCCCATACTTTATAAGGTATATTATCACTAATAATTTACCATACGCTTCTGTTCAGCTTCCAGCTGCTCTCTGTGACTTTGCTCTTTCTTGTTCAGCATCAAGAGGGCATTTCTTTCTGCCTCGGCCAGTTTTTCTTCCCACACTCCTCGTTGTTTTGCAGCTTGTTGTAACTGTTTTTCAGCATCTACACGCATCTGAGCCGCCTCACCTGGACATAAAAACATATGCGTGAACTCAGCTCTTAACCTAATACTGAGCTGTACTTCATGAAAAGATGATATACAAGTTATTTGTTTATTTTGGGAATTGTATATATATCTTATGGTCATCCATGGGTTTATCCGGAACATTAGAGCTTAACCATATTTATTCGATCCATGTGTTTGTATGCAGCACTGAGACCAGGGTCAGCTGAGAAAGCAGCTCCAGTGATACTGGGGCCCAGCTGTTGCAGATCTCAGCGCTGAAATATGGATCTCTGGTGGATGGCTGGAAAAGCTTCATGGCCTAGAGGCTTGGCGTGAAAAACAGTGAGATCTTCGAGGGAAGGGGCCACTCACGCGTCAAGGCCTCGTTAGCTAGATTCAAGCTGTATCTTTCGCCCTCCAACCTGGTGAGCTCGGCCTCCAGGGATGCAGAAAGCTCCTGGCTCTCAAATATAGCTGTCTCCAGGGAGTTCTTCTCCGCTCTGGAACAAAGCAATAAAAAGGCCTTAGCACTTCAAAAAAAGTCCTTTGAAATTCAAGGTGGAGAAGATCATAAAATCCAATAATCCACCTCAAACAGTTTCCAAATAAAACTAGTTTACTTGTAGACTCTTGTTACACGAGACTGCGCTTTAGAAATCCAAATTCACTTTAGGTCAGATTGCCTCAAAATATACAATGCCATTTGGTTTCACTTAACCCACACAACATACACAGAAAAACAGGCTGGGGACTGAGGACTCAATGGGCGAACTCACACTAATTCATCTCGGTGAATGCCTGCCACATATCAACATAATTATGCCGTATAAAACAGTTGCAACTAAACTCACATTTTTGAATCAGACTAATATATACATATATCTTAACAATCGCCTCCACCCAAGAACGCACAAACATACACAAACCACACAGACCTCAGTGCTATGAGCTCCTGCTTGAGGCTACAGGCTTTTCGGTCAGCAGAGTTTAGTTTCACTTCTAGAGCAGCCTTGTCCTTGGCGATCTCCTCCCTATCTTGAGCAGTTCTCCTGACAGCGGTAGTTTTTTCATCTAACTCCTTCCTGCATGCACACAGCTCCTCTTGTAGAGTCTGCATCTGCCTCTTGACCTGAAGATGGACATAAACACATCGAAAACATTACGTGTTGTCCTCAGACCTCTGGGCTTGGGCCCAATTTCCAACACTATTAATGAACTCACAAATTTCCTAAAGGAAGACAAAACAAAATACTTTAAGGTGTAACATGCATACAGTGACAGGATATGTTAACGAACAGCAATTATAACCAACAAAGACTCTTTCACACATTATTTATAATAATTTACCGAGACTACAGCAAATATCAGACATCAGAATTATTCCCAGTAAATGTTCTTTTTAAAATTAAAGTAGCAACAGTAGAATAGATGTACTGCAGGTAATATAAGATATGGCTTTAACTGATCAAGCCAACCTCCAAAAAAAAAAAAAAGAATTTAAACCGGAAATTCGCCCTAATAACTATATAGGGCACTATATAGCGTTACACCATTTTAAATGAGGGTCCAAAGTTCTAGTGGATAAAAAAGTAGTGGACTCAAAATTTCCCACAATGCAAATTGAAAAATACTGATCAGCCATGGCCACTAGATGGGCATATATATCCTGGATTGTTTTGCGAGAGCTCTACTTGCAAAGCATCATGGGATTTGTTAGGACAGCGGCCCGCTGTTGGGTAGTGATGTCCGCTGAGCTGTTCCTGCCAACCATTGCTAATTTCTGGACGGAAGTTGTCTGGACAGCCATGTGTTTTGTTGGTATGAGAGAGTTGGGGACATCTTACTTCTCTATTAGGGGAAGGGCAAGGCTTTTCATGACCTGATTGTGGTCCCAGGTGTCACGTCCTTGGATAAGGCTGACCTATTGGTTTGTCATGATGTGTCTGAGTTGCTGGCCTGCAGCATGAGCCACTATCCTTTATCAAGTGACTATTGAAGATTTGTTGGTCTTAGAAGGATGTCATATGTTAGTCTGATGGTGAATCTAAGATGCTTTGCTTTCAGGCCTCCTTCGCACTGATCCTTCAGCTCTTCAGGGCCATCATGACCACTCGCCCTGCTTGGTAAGTGAGCCTGCCTTGCTGACTTCTACTAACAGTACATATCTTCAAGTGCCATGTTCATGTTCTTTGTTACTGTGGCTGAATTCCAGGTTGGCTGCCTGGCTATTAGTCCAAATCCTTCCCTTCCTTGCTTTATTACATCAACCAGTATATTGGTTTCTGTTTGCCACCAAAGTTGGTGCAATACTGATCACTGCTACATTCAGAGTTTGCTATCCTTTGTGTGAATTTTGAGGGGGAGTTTCAGAATGCCAAAACCCTAAAGACCTTCCTGGCAAAGTCTGCAAGGTTTCTCTCCATTTTCTCAGCTTTCAAGATAAGGACCTTAGTGATTGTAAATGGCCACATTTACTTTTGTGAGTAATAAAGCAAGTAAATTAGGGAGTAAACTACATACCACATTATATGACCAACATTTTCATTACAAAACCTTTCAGTGTTTGGGTTTTGGTTTTCATCTGTGCTTTGTTTATTTTTTGCTGTGTATTAATGCAGTTTATTTCTCTGTATTCATAATTTTTTTAACCTAAGTTCTTACTTATTTCTCTTATTCTCTTCTCTGTTTACTCCTGGCCCCCTGTTTGCACTTCTTTCTCTAGTTAAATCCAACTCTGTTCAGTATTGACTTTCCCTTGGGGTTATGTTCACAAAGCCGTACTTGATGCTCAATTCAGTCTTTTTTTCCTAAGATCAGATATTTTTGGATTGGCCTTTCATAGTGCTGAATAAATGTGAACAGTATCAGATGTTTGAACTTGCGATGTGATTGTCACACGGTTTATAGAAGTAATAATGGATATGATTCTCACTAGAAGTTCTTGATACTGCTTTATTGATAAACAAAACAAAGAAAGATAATAAATGTTAGTGTTTCTGTGTTATTATTGAGAAATTAAAAGTATCATGACAACATCATAAAAAAAAGAAGGGTAAAAAAAAAACAACAGCCATTAATGGAGAATTCAGCTCCATAGAGGTCTGTGTAGATTTAAAGTAGGATGTAACAGTTGGATAAAATATGGCTTCACAATGCAAACCTATTGGATTTGGTCCCACACATAAAATGGTTTAAATTAGATTTTTGTTGTCCCTTTTTTGGTTGAAAAAAGATCCAAATTGGGCAGTTCAGATTGCTGTTAAAAAGTCAGATATGAAAAATAGGATACGAATATGCCTTCTATATGTAATGAAGCATTACTATGTTTACGCATTGGGCAAGTTGTAGCTCCTAGCACTTGTTTAATCATGTTTGATGGGGTAAACCGTAAGAACACTATCCAGGGAAGTTTTTAATTCCTTTGAATTGCTCTGCAGAATCTGAAAAATCTTCAGATGACATTATAGTACAGACTTGCAAATGGATGATATGATTCTAATCTAACAGTCCTCCAGAGAAGAACTAAAAATAAATGTAGCAAACAGCTGAATGTGTCACACAGAGTACATGTGAAATGACTCACTGTGAACCAAGGAAAAGTTTGAACTATGTGTGGAAAAACATGGTAAACAAGTGACAGATCTTACCAGTGAGGATTTCATATAAAATTCTACAGACATCTTGTGATTTCACCCATAAATATCACTAAAATCAACAGATTGTTAAAAACTCTTGGAAAGAAGTAACTGTCATTTTTGGATGACTTGAGTAGGCTAAAAAGCTGGAACCGACTTTGTTTTCTACTTCCTCACAGCGTATGGTGTTTAGGCTTGTACCTAATATGCCAGCTGGCTCCAGGGGAGCCTGTACAGCTCAAACTACAAGTGGAAAAGCTGCAGTATAAAAATCTGCAGATTTGTGTCCACACATATTCAGTGTCGAACATACATGCAAGAAGCATAAATCAAGCTTTACCATCCCCTTTGCAGTTGATTTAAACCCAACCGATTGGTTTACCTGAATCCAATGTCATTCTCCTTGCCTGTTTTCCATTGCTAAGTTCTGGTTCCTCCCACTAACTTCTCATTCCTTTATGCCATATCTTTCTCATTTAAGTTATATAATTTTTTTATTTTCATTAATAAAACTTTTAGC